TGTGTGTGTGTGTGAGTGAGCAGATGCTGCTGTTGACCTGCAGGTGTTTGCTAGGCCCGCGGCAGGGACTGACAGGTGGCACCGGGCAATTAAGACACAGCTACGCATTTATCCCTTGATGGAAAATTCAATGAAATAATAGTGACTTACCTCAGTGCCACACGGACTGAGCTCTCATCCTGCCCCGTCGTCATGATTCCTTGCACAATAATCGAGAGAAAGAGAACAAAAAGCGGATTTATCTGGGCTGGCTGCTTGCCCTGGCAAAAGAGCGAGAAAAAAGTGCGCACTCCTCCTCCTCCTCCTCCTCCTCCTCCGGCTGGCTGCCGCTGTCTTTCTCAGTGTCCGACTCCCCGTCCTCCTCCAGGGTGAGCTCAAATTGGAACTTGTCCCCTCCTGGGGGTCGAGTGCCGTCTTCAGGATCGTCCAAAGCAGGGGAGGGGCTTTGGGGGATGGTGCTTTGGTACCACTCCCTGTTGTCCTCCAACGTGTCCAGGATGTCCTGGGCGTCCGGGTGTACCAGGTCAGCCCACGTCTCCCACAAAGGGTGAACGATATAGTCTATGAAACCAACCTACAGGAAGCATGGAGGGACAAAGAAGTCACTCAGTGTGTGTCCATACGCAATATGCATGAGCATGTATAGTACATTTGTGTGTGTGTATTACCTGGTTCTTTTCTACTGAAGCGTTGTGTTTGTCACACATGGGACTGATCTCCATGCCCCTCTCTCTTTCTCGGTCACCCTGGCTAAAGAACTCCTCCATGATGCGGTCCGTCCACTGCCGGTACAGCTGGAGAGGCTTGGTGGGGTTGCTCAGGTCTGCACAGTGCACCATATTCTGGAGAACCTGAATATAACAAATAATAAGGTCTAAAACACGGCGCCCAGGCTGAAATCATCTCATTTTAATGAAATTGTTGTGATTAGGAGATTTCCTTGCAGGAGTGAAGTAAATTTAGGCTGTGGTTTTAGTGTTTGACAACTTAGAAATCTGACCTTTAAGAGAATGGAGAGTCCAAAATGGAAGAAGCTATCACATTACTGTGTCACATGACCCACAAGTTGTCACTTTCTGCAGCAACCAGGTACTAATTCTGTATTTCTTTTGTTATTGTTTTTTTGTTTTTAATGCTCTTTTTATTGAGACAGAAATTCACATATCTATCACACCAGGGGTTCCTAAACTTTTTCATGTCTAGGACCAGTCACAATAAATGTACATTAGTCCATGGAACCCCAATTTGAGAGAATTTCAAGGAAGTTTTAGGTTTCAAGATAATACAGTCTTTATTAGTCAATAATGCAACAATAATTAAACTATCAATTAAATCAATAAAAAACGGACAACCTCATTTCTTCCCTTGTTCCAACTTCCAAAAAATGTGATGAAAGTTAAAATATTCTATTCCTCCTTTTGCCTTTTCCTCCCTACAACCCACTCAAGGACAGTTTGAAAACCACTGTGTCAAACACTGTGTTTTTGAACATTAATAATTAAAAATATTAACATCCATCCATACACTTTAAATTACTCATTTGAATTAACCAAGATAAATAAATGGAGAAAAAAAACAGTTGTTACTGGTCGGCAGCTTTATTCTGACCTGTATCCTGTCAGAGTAGTTGTCCAGCAGCAAGACACCGGAGCTGGTCACCTTCTTTGTTTCCACCATAGTTTTCAGATCAGCCAGTAGATTCATGTGCTTGGACATGTCTGTTGCTAGCACCTGGGAATACCCAGAACAACCTGTTAGTATTCAATACTACACAGTGATTGAATGAACGTATAGGGTAGTGTACATAATGCATCTCACTCCCTGCTGAATACGCTAGTTCAGTTGCTATCAAATTTAAAGAAGAGATTATATAGAAGAAAACTTTTCACTTACAATGTCAATGACCATCTTTCGCAGTGATTGTCTTTGTTTTTTGGTCAAGTTTTGGAAGATGTCACAGTTCTCCTCTTGTAGAAGCTTGAAACCAACTGCTAGATGGTGGTTCTCCAACACCGACGAGTCATTGTACATCAACGCTAGCTCTGAATCTGCAAGGAGGACATGATATTAGGAGAAATGTGAATTAATTTGTCCTGGTTATATTATAAGGCAATGCATCTGCAACAAGGTACACCTTTTAACATAATCTACAAATTTCACTGCTAATACACCCGTCCAAATATTCTATTTCTATGTATCCCTTGCTCTGTGAGTAGCAGGAGAAAGCACCAGCATGTTTTCCACTGAGAGGTTTCCCCACTCTGGGTCATTTGAAGGTCCTCTATGTGTATTTTGATTTTCCATTAAGATGCATTAGTCCCGGCCACATTGGAACAGAGCAGCAGAAGGGAGAAAGGGGATCCTGCTCTGTTGCTCTGTGGCTGACAGAAGATCATTCTGGTGGCTCCTAACTAGGATGACTCACACTGCCTTTACTGCAGGGATTCCCCATTTGGGCTTATGGGAAGCACAACACATTTTGTGTGTTAAGTGTGTGAGACTGTGCAGTTTTTTCTGGTTTGATAAGGTATTACTAATACTTTCATGCAACACTCACATTTGTAATGGTCCCTAGAATGGGTGTTTAAAGGGATACCCAGTGGATATAAACTTTATTTGTTTGTGTTTTCCTCTAAATTATTCCAAATCAAGGCAATATTTGTGGCACCTCCAGCAATGAGTGAGTCAGTTAAAGCAGAGAGATAGCATGGGTTGAGTCTCTTGCTAGAGGACACTTCAGTTACGAACACAACACAATGAACCTGCTACCCTTGGTGGTATCTTGTTATGCAGATTTTCTCACACCAATAGAAAGAAACAACACCTATTATCTCTTCCCAGAATTACTGCAAAATCCACAGAACTTAAATTAAAAAAAGGGACTATTTTTTATAGTCCCTATAAGAAAAACTGTCCCGGAAAGAGAGGTTGCTGTGGATTGTTTAATGCAATGAAAACCACAGATAGAATTTGATCCACCTCCATTATAATAACCCGTGGTTTTAACCCTTCCAACTGACCCCCCCACTATCTTAATGTTTTCAGCAATGATAAGATAGGTCTGGTGCGAGCCAATTGATCAGTCAAAGTAAGACAGATGACACCAAATAGCTTGCCACAAAAATGCCAATAAGCATGGATGAGATTAAGAAGACAAACAAAATCAACTGCTTATAGCAAGCATTACCCTGTGTTATTTATCTATTAATTCATTCATTTATTTAATAATTTTTGTAATTTGGGTGGCCCAACTACTATCCCACCTTGTTACCAACAGCATTTACCACCTAAGATTACAAACCAAGGTGCAGTGTGGCCTACTACATATATGTCTTTGGGAGGATGTGTTTTGTCTTTTTATCCCTGAGAACACGAGAAAAGAGAGAGGGCATTATTGAGGACAGTATTGATCTTCTCTTTGAACTTCTCTGTGCCTTGGAAACACATGTCACCGCTATCAGACCTAACTAAAGAAACACATGCTGGTGAAGACATGCACATGTGTACGCACATAACATCTATGTATGTACATGTGTGTCCTGTTCTTTTGCCATCCATGTACAGTAAATATGCATCATATTTGTACTGCATATTTATTCATGTTATTAAGGTTAATCGTCTGCAATATGCCAGTGTGTGTATGCGCATACTAATGATGCAGAGGTGTGCATGTTCCCACCTGGGTAACTGTGAGTGTGTGTTTGTGCTTGTGAATACGCACTAATGACACTGCTGAGCCACTGACAGAGCTGCTAAGACAGTGCTGTATTTAGACTCACTGGTGCTGATGAGGAACTGGTTGGAGACTCCGGGATGGTCCACGTCGTGAATTGCACTGGCAAAGATGGCAGCTAGGATCTCAAGGTCTGTGAACACAGCCTGGAAGAAAAGCACAGAGGGGAAGAGGGAAGGGCATTGATGAGAGAATCAAATCGTTGGACAAAAATATCCTTGCAAGTAAGAGCCATTGATTGGACTTTGAGCAGGAGTTTGATTGAAGCTGATTGTGGAAGCGTGGGCGTGTGTTTGTGTGTATGTCTGTGCATCTGTGCGAGTGTGTTCATTTGCTTTATGTGTTCACACACCTCGAGAGCGGGGGTGGATAGCAGCACGTGAGTTGACTGGGTGACGTCAGCAGCATGAATGTTGTTGTGGTAGGCCACATCGCCATGATAATGGTCTTCTAAGGTCATCAGGTATGTTATAAAGGTGTCGAGTGGAATTTTAAAAGTTTTTAACAAGTCTCTCTCCTGCAAACCAGAAAACACAAGAGTGAGTTTATGGTCACAACAATTTCAGGGTTCAACATTTATTTTGTTTTTGAAGATTAAGACAAAAAGAAGCGACGGTTGTTAACCTGGAATATCGTGTACATCATGACTGTCAGTGGCCGATTCCCAGAGAACTCTGAGATTTTAAAAACGTTAAGGCCCCATTTATTCACATGCTCCAGTTCCTGAAAAAGGAATCAAAGACACAATTAGAAACAATTCATCTTTTTTTCTATTCCTTCATTATTACCCGAGCCCCTACTCCAAACTACATGTCAGATAGTGTGCATTGTATTTATGTGCAGTCTGTGTGTTCAACGTTTGTCAAGACACGCAAACACACCTTAGCGAGTTCATCCTCGGTCTCGGTCTTGACGCCAAAGCGAGGGATATTAGAGTTTGTGAGGCTGGAGGAGTGTTGCAGCTTTTTCACCCCGCTAATCTGCGACATGGGCTTGTTCTTCTTCTCCTTCTCCTTCTGCGTCTGAGGAGATGGCATCTCCACTTCATGTTGCTTGTCTGAGACGCAGTAAAACACAAGTTGAGGGTGAATATGAGGATGAAGCCTTTTGTTCCACACTTCATTTTGGGGTCATGTTATAGTGGTTCTAGTTTTCTCCCTTTAAATAGTAGCCGAATGTGATACGAAGGTGTTTATGTTTATGTGTTTATGAGATTAATAGTTCTGGAAGTTTAAACAGGGTACAGATAAATGATGTATACTGCATGTATTTGGCCATATACAAAATAGGAAAAAGAGTCTCAGGCTTGGCACCAAATATTTTTTTTTACTTCCTCAGGCACGATGGAGATTTTCTTTTAATTTCCAAACCAGTAAGTCTATCTTACTGAGTCATCACTCACCCAGGAAGGTGCTGGAGATGAACTCAGACACCTGGTTCCCAGAGCGGCTCATCTCTGATAGGTGAGTCAGCTCCCTGTTCAACATCCTCTTGAACTGAAAGAGGGACACACACAAACACACACACACACACACACACACAGATTAGGGGTTTCAGAGTGTATAATACAGGGTAGAAAAATCATCATTTATTTATTTACAGCTGGTGCTCAGAGGTACCATAAACATATTTAAATAAATGCACAGAATCTGCACACATAAATCAAGAGCCAAAACTGAGCTCACTTGACTATAAACATTCTCTGATGTAGTATGAGGCGCCTCCAGTTTGAGGCCACTAATATAAAACCTTGTATAATATAAAAATACATTTTCATGATGTCAGGGAAGAAATCCAACAATTTTATCTGTGGCCTTTTACTAACAGATTCTTAAAATTTCTAGTCACATAACAGGAGCTGTACCCAGGAATGTCCCCATTTATGGTGTAACACACATACACACAAACACACACAGCGGGTCAGAGTTATACTGCCAGAGATGTACGTAATCAGTAACCCATTTTCCCAGTTTCTTTTTCTCAATTCGTCCTCTCCCCGCTCCCTGCTGCCTCTCCCTCACCCCATTTCTCTCCTCTGTCTCCAGTGCCTAATTGGAGTGGCAGACCCAAATTTAGCTCTGGCCTTTTATTTGAAGACCAAACTGATTGATGTGGAGGAGACTGCTTGAAATCAGGTATTTTCCAAAGGGTTGCGAAACAACATAGTTACAAAACGGATTGCGAAACAAAAACCTCTAGAACAAAGCCGCTGCATTGTCCAGATCTTTCTGGCTTCAGTCCAAATGCGTAATGTATGTATATTGATTAATTATATAAATCAATAATGATCACTTAAAATAGCCCATTACAACACTGCAGTGCTTACTGCGCAATTGTGTATTGACATTTTATTAAATAACACCCACGGGAATTCATTGGGTAGCGTTTTAAAATGGAGACACAAGAGGCAAAGAGCCATTTGTCATGTGCTTTTGTCAGGTAATAAGAGCCAGTTGAATAGAAAAGAGACAAATACATGTTCGGAAGAGCTGTATTCACATGAAACAAAATTAAATCACAGTGATAAAAATTTAAGAATTTAAAGATATTTGCTTTTTTAATTCAGGTTTGTGGCTAACCTACAAAAGATCCCTTATTTCATCAAAAAATATGGAGCAACCCAACTACCCTGAGGATTGCTGACCTAAAAAGTCTTCACAGAGCTTTAGGAGTTACGGTTTTATTCCATCTAAGAAAGTCCTTGTTTAAAAAACATGAACCCATCGACAAGTATTTAACAATTTACAGGTGTGATAAAAAGGTCTGTGGTTTAAAATCCAAACTCACTTAAAAAAGTAACTATGTAATGTTCTTCTATAATGTACATGTCTACACCTTTCAAAGTACAGTGTAAACACCATCAGCTCTCCACATCCCAGATACATCCAAATGGAAGATGGATCCAGTAATGACACACCTATGAAGCATTGTTCCATGGACATGTTCGCGAGGAGCTACATACAGTTTACTTCATTGTCTTATAACCCTGCGTCCAAATCCATGCCAAGGATAAACCTCAATAACAAATACAACTTCCACTCTCTGGACGTGTATTTTAAAAAGCACATTAAAATAGGTGTAGAAAAAAATAAAACACCAGAATAATTAATTAAAATACACTAATCCAAGACCACATCTTACCTTTATATATCCCCAGGACACAGAGAGCAGATAATTTGCTTCAGGCATTTTGACAAATCAACAAAATAGATCCAGAAATAATAAAGGTACTGGTTTATAGTCCAAGTTCAAGTCAAGTCAAGCCCAGTTTGGTTAATGAAAGGACTAGGCAGCTAGCGAAAGAAAAATAGTCCGCAGCTCTTGCCAGTAAAAGACCCCAACCTGAAGAGGTTCAATCTAAATCTGCTGCACAGAATCCTTAAACGAAGCATCGTGTTCCTGTCCTGCGAATATCCACAGAAATTAGCCCATGTTCCTGAAAGAAGAGAGTAAACCCAAATTCTGGCTCCCCAAAGATCCGATGAGAGCATACCAAGACCACACTCACTGTGATACACACTGACATGTGCACACACTAACACACACACACACACACAAACTCGGATACAGGGACACACTGCTGAGGTTGTAAATAATTGATGATGGTGCGGATGCTTGGTAGATGCCAAACCACCAGGACAGCAAAAATGTTTCTGTCAACAGCTTCCAAACAGGGCTGGCTGCCTGACTGCCCGCCTGCTTCTGTGTGTGTATGACACGAGCTCCCATGTGAAGAACACAGGCTGCTTCTCTCGCTGTGTCACACAACAGCAGCAAATCAGGACCCAGCAATGGAAGAAGTGTGAGCTCATCATCACCTCTGATTGGCTTGGATTGGAACAGAGTTGAGGTCACCTGCTGTGTGATTGGCTGCGACTGAAGTCAGTGGAAAATCTACCTCTTCCTTTTTCCTTCCATTCCTGCAGTGCAGCAGGATGTGATTTTGTGTGTGTGTAGATACAGTACATGTTCGTTTGTGTGTACACAAGACATATTTACATTACATGCAATAGTACGTGTGTGTATATGTTTGCGTGTTGACTGACCTAACCTTCTGTGCAGTATGATGTACAAGCACAGGTTACCTCATCCAACGTGATACAATACTGAAAAACTGAGGTCAGCTTTCATGCCAGTATTCATGCGAGGTGAGTCACAATAACATCATGGGTGAGGTGATATAAACACACGAAAACCAATTAATTTTGCAAAAAGAATGAGCGTCACATTTATCCGTAGTGGGCTCAGTAGTACAGAAACTGAAAGACGTGTGTTGTCACAGGCTGTGGTGTGTGTCACTGAGCTCAAGAGGTTAACACTTTAGTTAGAAAACAAGGCTCAAGCCCTATTGAAGGAAGAGTTTTAATCAGTAACAGAATGAATGCACCCGTATGAAATAAACTAAAAAACAAAATGCAAGTGTGTAATACGTCATGAACATATTTCATACCTCTGGCAGCAATTTCTGTTGCCACTAATTCAATAGCACTTTATTATCAGCCCTTTTATTATACCCCATTTTCATTTGATCATGTAGTCTCATAAAGATCTTTCTTATGACACCTTGCATACAACCATGTACAAACCACAAAGATAAAAGATCAAGTCAGACGACCAACCATCAAACGTAAAAAAGAAAAAGAAAAATCTGTGCAAAGCTTAAAAATGTCAGAGGGGATTGAGATTAAAAAGGTGCAGAGCCTCTAAATCCTGTCCTGCCAAGATTAGTGATATGGGATGTGTAAAATTAAGTAATTATTAGATTGTTTCGTGTAGTTGTAAGTAGGAATGGGTATTGAACGTTGATATTTTTTTTAATACTGACTGAAATGTGTATGTTGGTGCCAAAAACTGTTGAGTACAGACAGCTGGCATAAGGCAAGGCAATTTTCTGTAGGTTCATTATTATGGGCGACCCCTCTCACATTGTTTTCACATTGTTTAAAAAATATATATCACAGGCACTTTAATGATGATGGGACAGTATGACAATACACTGATCAGCCATAACATAATTTTAAACTGCTTTTCCTTCCTTGGACCACTTTTGAAAGATACTGACCACTGCAGACCGGGAACACCCCACAAGAGCTGCATTTGCGCCACTCACAAGTTTGGCCCTGTCAACAAGTCGCTCAAATCCTCACGCTAGCCATTTTTCCTGCTTCTAACACATCAAACTTGAGGACAAAGATGTCACTTGCGCCTGATATAAATCCACCCACCTGTCAGTTTCGATAAGATGATCATGGCTCTTTTGGTGTGATTAACTATATACAGATTAATAAATGCATTCGTCAGTCCATTCTGGAGACAGATAGTTGATTAAGATTCTGAGAAGAGGAGGTTCTGTTCTTTCTCTATTTGTCTTGTAGTGTGTGTAAGCAGCGTGCACATTCATGTGTTATGTCTCTGCGTTGGTCCAGTGGCTACATGGATTGAAAAGGGACCAAACCTGTCTCTGCTTACTTTACACCCCACCTCTACAGCCAGCCTGGCACTGTGAGTAATTTACAGCTACGCTGGAGCAGATGAGACAACTGGCTAACTGAGATCCAGCAGCTTTGATTGACTCTGAGCCAAGCAGGCCAGCACAGGCCCACCACACACACCAACACACACACACTTTACTCCCTGTAGAAGCATATACAAATATAACGGCCACAGACACCCCTCCTCCCTCTCTCCGCCGGACAAATATAGTACGCACACATATTGATAGCTTAGCCAAGAGGTGTGAACACAAACTATTGGGTAAAAATTGGAAAGTGTCACACCAAGCTTAGCTGTGACTTGTGTGTAATTTGTTCTTTGGCGGAGTGAGTAAAAATATCCATTCCCTGCTGTATATAGCGCATGACACCTCCAGATCTCTGTTGCATTTGTTTCTTTTCTCACATTTCACATTTATTCTGGTGGAAGATGGCCCCACTCTATAAAACACAGAGAGAGCAGGAACACTAACTGCCGCTACTGTTTTCAATGAATGTACCACTGACTGTGAGAAGTACGTCTGCTGTCCATTCATGAAAAAAAAATGCAGGAAATCTATACAGTATGTAGGAAGGTATCATTATAAACAGCTAAATCCAAAAGACAAAACCTACCACCAAATTGTTGAATGACTCTGCATGTGTAAAACTAACAATTTAAAGAAAGACGACCAAAGCAGTGAAGGAGATCTAACTTTTGAGGACATAGCAAAGTACAGTAAATAAAATAAACAGAATCACCAAAACAACCTTAGCACAAAAATACAACTATAAAGCTCCTTGATTTTTGGAGTGCTGATATTCCAATGGATTAGGAAGGCCTACTGCTAGGCATGCTACTAGTAGCGTTTTATTTGAATGACATATTAACAAGTAGCAAAGATAAAGAGACTAGCAGAGATCAGGTTGCAGCTTAAAAGAATGAAATGCACCTTCCACCGGGATGAAGTGAAATATGTGGGTTATGCACTGAACGCCCAATTAAGAAAACACAATTATTGAAGCCCCTTCCCCAACAGATAAAACTAAACTCAGCAGAATGTTAGACTACTACAACAAACCCCAAGTCTATCTTGCAAACCTGTTGCCCGCTCCCTTGCAGCAGACTGCTGCACTCACAGTGCAAGAAGGAGCGCTACTGCAGGTCCTTCATTCCAATAGCTGTCAGACTCTTTAACTCATGAACAGCATAATGTAGCACTGTTTGTCTCTGTAACATCTGTCAACACTGATCTGCAGTAGCTCTTCTGTTGGATCTGACCACACAGGCCAGCCATTGCTCCCCACATGCATCAATGAGCCTTTGCCACCCATGACCCTGTTGCTGGTTCATTGCTTTTCCTTCCTTGGATCACTTTTGATAGGTACTGACCACTGCAGACCGGGAACACTCCACAAGAGCTGCAGTTTTGGAGATGCTTTGACCCAGTCGTCTAGCCATCACAATTTGGCCCTTGTCAAAGTCGCTCAAATCCTCACGCTGCCTATTTTTCTTGCTTTTAACACATCAACTTTGCGGGTAAAATGTTCACTTGCTGCCTAATATATCTCACCCACTGACAGGTGCCATAATAATGAGATGGCTGATTGGTGTGTAATATCTATTTTGTATTTTTTTTATTTAATGTGTATTTTCTTATCTTTTGTGCTGTATATGGAGCTGCTGTAGTAAGTGAATTTCCCGAGTGTGGGATCAATAAAGTTTATCACCTCCTGCTTAAAAAGCTTTAAAAAGTTTGATTGGTGTGTTTGGAATTAAGAAACTCTGCAGGTATTTCTATGGATATGCATCCATTATCTATAATGATCATAAGCTGGTTGCAAGTAAGTATAACACTGTGTAAAGCCAGGAAAACAACTTGCAAAGGCAGATGTATTGAACAGGTTTGTGTACCTGAAAAAAGTAAAAGAAAAGGAAATGAACAAGTATTGATGATGGATGTCCTCGGTGACTCACCAGTGGATACAACACACATCAGACACTAGACTGCTAAATATATGGTGTCCTTCAGTGCATGAGTATGTCCTCAAGGGTTGGCCAAATTAAACACAATCCAAGCTCAATCTCTACCATCAGTGATGTTGGAAATTATTGTGAAAGATGCCTCTGTGCTGTGGGTACCGACAGAATATTTAAAATGTTGCATCAGACAACAACAGTCAGTTTCAAGTTTGCAAACTTGACCGACATACACTTATCCTGAGGCAGAGCCAGAGAGAGACCAGCTGCAGATTCCAGAAACACATACACCCACACAAAGGGTGGAAATGTAACCACAGGACCATCCTAAACTAGAACTACCAGATAAACCACAAATGCAATGAAGTGGTCATCTTAAAGATTATGCTAGATAATTAATTTTACTAGTTTTGGATCACTATTACACTCCACAGAGTGTATTACATAGAAAAATAGTATAACGAATTGAAAATAACATCGCTTGTAGAGTATGTATTTCAGCTGGCATGAGATCCTTTAGGGCAAACAGGTATGTCACCTTGTTTGACCTACTGTTATAACAGCCCCTGGGCTTAACAGAGTAACTTTGAGAATGTTTAGGGTCATTACTGAGGGATGTTAGAAGCATAAAAGAACTGCACTGCTTCCACAAAGCAAAAGCACAACAATAGCAGCTTTACAATGTGACTGCTAAAGGACTAAAGCACAAGTATGAGGTGGTTTTCACAGGTATGTCCCCAGACATCACATTCAGAGGACATGAGGTACAGATTGTTGCAGTAATCTAATTCAATTTAAAAGTCAAGGGAGCGAATTTAAGTATGTCTTTTTAATCTCAGACTTTTCCTTCATTGATGAATTGAGCCTTATGCTGAGTGTTAATAAATTAAGGTCTGCAGGATACAGACAGTAATGGCTATGTGTGGGAGATGTAGTGACTGTATTACCTATGATGTGTGTGTGCTGCTGGAGTGAGGCTGGCTGGGCCTGTGGCTGTTGCCATGACAACCAGAGATAGCTGTTCTGGTGAGCAATGGTGAGGTACAATTTAAAAAAAAAATAATAATAATCTTTTCACTTTTAAATGAGGTAGATGTCCTGGTCATGCATGTGATTGTGTTAATGTCAGCGGTGAGCGCGTGCGTTTGTGTAATTCCTTTGTCTGTCCGTCCTCCCTGCCTCTCCTCTTGCACCGCCCCCACCTCTCTACCCTCGTGTGACATCACAGTGTGTGACATCACCAGAGCCTAGAGCTGATCAGCATTCAGAGCGGCAAAGCAGCCGCCCTCCACACACACACACTCACACAAATATACACAAACTGGAGGCGACTGAGCATGCTCACAGCACAACTCCCTACTTGCATGACGATGCTATCACTAACACACATAGACAATACAACACAAACAGTCTAACATACGCTTTGACCGCTGAGTGCTGAAAAAGACACCAAAGCATGTAATATGTACAGCTCATGTGCCAACCTAATAATGACTGTAAGAGCAGTGAGCTCCACCGGTCCAAAAGGTGATTACTACGGGTTGATAAACACTTAACAAATCAACAGAGAAAGAGGCCTGATGGCAAAGGGGCAGGTGACACAGATTAGATTATGTTTAATTAATATTATACTATATTCAGTATTATACTCCTATGTATAGTGTCTATCTGCTCTCTATCTGGTATATTTTTATAAAATTATGCTGCATATCAGCTTGGCCTGTCACTGAGCAATAAACACAATTTAAATTGTACATACATTTGCTGAATGACCATATCGAGAGAATTTACCCTCACCCAAAAGACTTATTTGCAATTTCATATTTTTCCTTCATGCATGGAAATGCAGCTGTACAATACGTGTAGACTGACCTCTATCAATGCACTACACTAGTGTATATACTATATATGTCACACTCGTACTGAAATTTGAAAGCACATCTTGTTAACTTCAGCCACAAAAAACAAGTCACAGTAAATCCTGGGTAGCAGCTTCTGAACATCAAATAAAGCATTCTTAAAATTAGGCATTTGAAGATAAAATCTATATTAACACTTCCAACAGATGCTGCCGTACAGAATTAAACTACAGTTAGATGAAGTTTACAAGTTGGTGTGAACTTTTTTGTTATTGCTTACCTTGTTAGAGGCCATCTCGCTGACTGAGTGTCTTGTCTGCAGCGTCTCGAGCTGGTCCAGACACCAGTCCAGCTCCTCCAGGGTCTCAGTGGCCAGTTTCTGGTAGGCCTCCTCTGCAGGGGCAAGACAGGAGGGCAAGGGGTCAGTAAGGGCCCGCTTCAGAGGACTAGTGGACGGTCCAGGCCCGGGGTCTCCCACCCCACATACAGCTAAGCTGGGATACCCCGAGTAGACACATGGGTGACTCTTCATACTGGACAGGTGAGCCAGCTGTGCGGGTCTGGGAGTAGGGCCTTGTTGTCCTGTATCCTAACCCACGGATGAGCAGTCACAGGTCAGCTGTAGCAAAACTCACTGATTCTCTTGGAGGAAAGAAACCTCCAGTGGAAATCAGTGCACTACAGTTCAAATCCTGGATTCTTCCTTTTTAAGAGTAAGACAGATACATTCCCGGGGAGTACAGCTGCAGGTGATGGGGTGACAAACAGCCACCCCGAGCCAGTTCTGGGTGTCCAAATCAATGTTTAGAGTAAGAAAATAACAGCAGAGAATACAGAGGCAACCCAAGGAGCAGCAGCAAAAAAATGAAATCTCACACAGACGGACTCACTCACTATCTCCCATACACAGCACACATATCACAGTCAGCGATCTAGGTGTATTAGGTTTACACTGTCATTCATAAGAGAGATGTAATTCCAGTCATGTAGCAAGATGAATAGCAGTCTGCTTAGCAGGCCCATGTCTGCCATAAGAGGGATGGAGGGAAGACAGGGACGGTGGAAATGAGGACTCAGCAAGACGCTCAGAACCAGTCAAGATCCATGTCAATACTGTCCAGCATGGAACAAACACGCAATTGTTCACAGCATCCTGACAGGGTTAACAGATACAAAGACATCTCACACACACACACACACTGACGCAAACAGACACACACACACACACACGCTCACACCAGACGAAATGCTAACCATAACACATCATGATTTTGTCTCTCTTAGCCTCTCTGCCAATAAAAAACATCCATGGTATCCGGGAAGCAAAGGGTATAATCCGGTGCTGTGTGTGTGTATTGGATAGTGTTTCCTATAGACGCTGTGTGTATAGGGGGTGGGCTGCTGTTGCTTCGGCGTCCCTGGTAGCCAAACGTGCTGCTCTCCCCAAGCTGTACCTAAAGCCTGAGAGGACTGCACTGTGGATGGGGAAGGGAGAGTGACAAAATATGGACTGGATTGATAGAGGAGTGGAGACAGAGCTGGGAGCTCCCTATATTGTGTGCAGGCATGCTAATATGTGTTCAGCATACAAATACACCAAAACAGAGAGATTAACAGATAGATGGTTGATGATGTGATAAAGATGGTGGAGCGTTAGCGTCACAAGCCCTACATCAAAGTATCCTTCAGTGCCTTTTAATTTGAAATTGAAGACATGCCCCTCTCAAAGTCAGCCTATGTTAACAGAAAGTGTCACCTTGTCAGAAGCCAATTAATATTGATGCTTTGACTAATTTGGGAAAGCACAGGCTTTTAATGTTATGTGATCTGTGATCTGGGAGGGGGGGGGGGTCACTTTAGCTGTAATTCAATTACACAGACAGAGAAAGCAGTGGCAAATTAAAATACACGAGGACCAAATTTAATCACATGATGCCATATGAGTTTAACATTTCAGTTAGCATTTAGACTGCATTAAAGCCTTTGGAAAAAATACTGTGCTGTCTTTATCAAGGCTTAATGATAGAAAATACTGCTTTTTCACTCATCTTTCATTCTGGGACAGTTTATCTATAAATGTAAAGAATGCAAAGTTCTCACTTCTCTGGGTTTCATATGTATTTTCATGTGAATATCACAATTTGGAGTGAAATATAATATTATGTTGTATAATATGCTTAGAAACATGCACACCATTTTTGTTTCCATGCATCCCTCTTTTTGTCGACTCCTATTTTCAACAATATCCCCCTTCTCCTGCTTAATTGTCTTTGACAAATCTCTCCCTCCCTCCTTCCAGTAGTCCCCTTCCTCTCCCACACTCTTCGTTTCCTCCACTGATCTCTGAACATCCTTCCTCCTCCCTCTTTTGTCTCCTTTCTGTCTTTCTCCTCTTTCTTTCTCCCAGTCTCCCTTTCTCTCTCTCTGTCTTTCTCCCTGGTGTGGTGTCAGTGGCTGGGGTGCTACTCTTTCTGACAGCAACTGCACTGACGTCAATGACATTCTTCTCATGCTTAGTGCGACATCAGACACCGGCGCTCGGAGAGGCCACTCTGCTACACAGACGAAGGGCTGCAGCCAAACTATGTACCGGAACTGCTCGACAGTGAAGTCGGACTGTGAGGGGGAGAAGATAAGAGAAGAGGACGAGGAGGAGGAAGGGGAAGAAGGAGGAAAAAAATGCAAGGAAAGAGTAGTGGCTGAACTACATTGATTTAATAGTTTTTAGGTGGCCTGGACCATTTAAATAAAGTACCTTATTTATCTAGGACCCGATTTTATCCGTAAATGCCTCAAGCCCTGTTGTTTCCACATAAAGTACAGCATGCAATATCAAGGAGAGAGAGAAAGGTAGAGTAAGTTAGAGTGGTAACGTTATATCCAAAATACAGACCAGGTTCGAAAAAGTCATTTTGGACTGAATATATTGGATGTTAAAGGTAACATGTTCACATTATAATGTCTAAAAATAACTAGACCTATGTTATATATTTTGTTGAGTTGTGCACTTAAATTAACCCAAATGTTTCCAATAATGTTAAAACCCAGAGAAACGCGTAATTTTATTCAAGGCATAGGCTTCCTTCTTGCCTCTAGTTGCTATATCTTCTGGGGAAACACGGGATACGTCAGAGGTTGAGGAAGGAAGTCAGCGATCGTAACGTGAATAAAACTTTAATACATTACCTTGACTGTAAACATGATTTCTGCCTGAGTCATGTCAGGTAGATTTTCATCGGCAATGGTGGTTGTTTAACAACTTCCATGATCCCACGCTACTTCACGATGTCATCAAACTACGTCTTTTGTTTTTGTTTTGATGTGAGCGACGCCTAGCAGAAGGAATTACATACTGTGTGTTTAAATGTTAAAAGAATATTGTCCGCATACATTAATTAAAAGACTGGAGCACGATACCCTGTTTGCTCTACCAGTCTCATGCTGAATGTTTATGAATCAAGGTCTGTCTCTTTAGCCTTAACCAGCACCTATTCCCATCAACAATAGGTAAAAGGTCACAGAACTACCGGTTTTTAAATCTTACATGATTTGAAAATAATTTTCTTTATCTGAACAATAAGTTAATGACAAATGACAGAAAAATGCATTGAGAAGCAGGAGAAGAAGACAGGAGTGACGATAGACAGAAAACGTAATCCTTAGTTAATTCACTGGTATCCTAACGCTGATTTACTGAGTAACTATTAATAATACTTCCTTTAATTATTCTTTATCTGCAAGATGACTTAGTTGCCGCCTCAGCAAGCCTGCATTACAAGAAGTCAATATTCTCGAACAATCATGCTCATGACTCACAGCTGTCACCAGTTTATGGCAGGGCCCATAATGGCTGTGCACCAGTATGATTGTGTTCTAAATATAGCACAATGTCACCAGTTCCTCACATATAAGCAGGTTATGTATCAGGAATGGGATTCTTGGGAGGAATGTCTAGACAGATCTCCCCCTTAAATGTGGAAGAAGAGTATTTAGATTTTTTTGCACTTGCGATAAACATAATAAAAATGTTTTTAAAATATCCATGAATGTGTGTAATTTATGTAATTCTATGGGTGTCTGCTTACATGCCTTAGGGATAATTTTACTAAACAAAACAAATTATTTATTAATAAGTTATATGGTCTCTCCTGCAACACCCGCAGAAAAGCAAAGTGACTGTCAAGGACAAGTCTATTCTAGCCATCTAAGGCTGTCTGTGTCATATCCTCCTCACAACAAAAACTCCCAAAGTAGGCCAGAGAGGGTGTGCAGTAGACGCTGTCTGTCTAGTGCACATCAGACTACCTAAGTCAGGTATGACTATATACAGGCCCTGACAATCCATTATTGAAGTATTGATACGTCTATGTTTATGAAGGAAATGCTAAAACCTGCATTGTATAAACCAAAACAAAACCCACATACAGCGGTAATATAGACACTGGTTTACCTTTAAACCAATAATTTATATGACGGAAACTGGAATTCAAGAAAAATATTGCCAAACAAAGTTGATTTAGAACATGAGGATGTGGAGGGTCACCAATCTATTACAAATGTGGAATATATAGGCAGGGTTGTAATGGTCCATATACACAGATGGACATATCATCAAAAGCAGACACTGACCATTTGTTCATAAGTGAACTATCTGTGGAGAACTATCAGAGAGTAAAGATTTGAGAGCATCTTGGCTCTAAAAACATATATCTACAAACTGCCACACCAATCCAAACTAAAAATGACAACAGCCACTCACTCAAATATTTGGTCTTGATTTACCTGTTATACTGTCTTTTTCTCTTGTCCATCCTTTTGTTCCACTGAACCAATAATATTTCAACGCTATTTGTATTCTGACCGTGTTGGATATTATGTTCATGTTCTTTGGCTCCCTGCACAGCATGTGTGTACAATACAACTTACAATTAGGTAAAAACATTAACAACAACAACACCAGTAAGCGTCAATCTATTTAGCCTCCAGTTTTAGGGATAAGAGTGCATACTACTACTACTACTACCAATACTTCTAATGTGGTAACACTTTACTTTAAGTCCCCCTATTTAGCATTTACAAGCAGTATACAAATATTTGATAACTGGCTTATAACACAATGTTAGGTGTTATAGTATAATAGTTGCATGAAGATATGTAAAAATCTTTTCCTGATTTCCACACACGTCTAATAACACACACACACACACACACACACACACTTCAAGCACACAAGCCATTATGCTGCTCTTGCTGTTTGCATACCTGTAAAGGTGGTCTTGGTGATAGGTGGTGGGTTACACATGGGTGATCTCCTGTCATGGGGGAAACAAACACAGACACTGAGAAACAAAATCTATCATTTAACATGACTCTTTACAATTCCCTTTACTCATTTCTGCAAATGTAGGGAGCACTGTAGCAGAGGGTACCTTTACAAAGTATTGCTACTGTTGTTGTAGTACTCAATAAGAACAGCAGAGGGCGAGCAAAGCCAGACTGTGAGCGAGCACTGGACACAGTGCGGATAGGTGATTTCAAATAACTGCCACTTATTTAGAAGAACATCTTAGACATAAAGTGACCGAACATTGTGATCACTGCGAAATGCTGGTGTGTTGGCCATTGTTGTCTGTAATACCGTCACTCCTCCCACTATAAAAAAATAAATTTCTGTTTGAAAAAAACAATGAAGCTTGTCAACTTACTTATTGGACGCTCTGTCTTGCTGTAGATTAGTTAATGCACCAAAGTTGTTTCGTACGGTTCTCAAACTGGCAAGAACCTGAAGGGAAACATGATAGATAGGGCTGAATCATACAGTATTCATTAGTTTGTACAAAAACAACACACACAAAAAAAAACCTGGGACAGCTCACCTGTGCAAATGGCGTTACAATCATATCGTCACCATGACTGAAAGACACAAAGAGAGCGGCTTTAACGTTAGATGCAGATCAACAGTATATTGACATTCGACAACAGAGGAGTGCGCTCATGTTCTGAAAAGGTCAAGAGGGGGAGGGAAGAGTGTGGGTCATCACATTAGATTAGTTTCAGCGTCTCTGATGCACTCCATCACAGTGACATGTTTACTCATCACATCAGCCACCAGCTGAGGCCCTACTTCACAATGTGTAAGAGTTTCAGAACAGTTTAAGGTTTCAGTAAGAGAATTTAGGGGATTTATTGATGGACATGTCTCTGTACACATAGGAAAGTAGTTTAGTGGACGAAGATATTCTCACAGTAAGGATGTTGTAAAACCTGTAAGCTGTCTTTAAACTTGCTGTACAGACATGTCCCTCACACTAGTCATCCCTTTCCATGTCCTTTCCCTCCCCTTTCCATTTCTAACTATATATATCCCTCAGGCAATCGTTATTTCATTTTTTATTTATCTGGGGAAAAGTCAGCTGAGCATGTTTCTGACTTTGCTCACCTGATGGCTGCTGGAGCCTTGGTCAAGGGCACCTCAATGTGCATTGTTAAGGGAGTGGAGAACATTACTCATTCAATCTCAGCTAAAGGAATTTTAACCACTAAAATTCTGAGTCAGAATCCCACTGAACTCCAAATTGCGTTATGACTGTGAACACTGTCAACATTTGTTCAGGTGACAGGAGTGTGTTAGTATCATGGAGCTCACCGCCTACTGCTCTGTTCTACAAGACCACGGCCACGTCACGGACACACCCACTGGCATGTGAGTAGACATGCCTGGCATGAAAGTCAAAAGAGACGCAGGTTTGTTATGTGCTCATATCGCAAGACAAATAGAAGGTATTGAGTATAAAGACGACAAGTTATATATATTCTGACAGAGAGTGACAAAAAGAATCTTTCCAGACAGATAAGAAGAGTCTTTTTGAGGCACAAACTCTCTGCCCTAGGTCTGTTTCAATGTTTTCTTGTAAAGAATTAGCTCTGAGAAATTTCTGGACTTCCAAAGACATCTCTTTGAGTTCTTTAGAAAACATGCAATTTAAAAGTTTCACAAGTTTAACTCGATTGTGAAGATACATTGTTAACAATTTCACAAAGAAAGCTGTTGAGACAAGTTGTTTTCTGCTCTCATGTTTCCTTGTATATGCAAATCAGCAGGCAAAAAATATATGAAAAAATGAGGCATGAAAGATTAATGAATACTTAATAATAATTACTTAATAATGGTTTTTAACATAGTAACTGGATAGTGGGCGCAGGTCAAGGAAGGGTCGTTGGTTTAATACTCCAGAGCAAAAAGCAGCAGTGAGGAGGAAGTGTTTTGTCTATTTGTCTTCCCTTCAGGCTGCACCGAAATGCTTAGTTTTTCAGTCAATATTTTTATTCCCTGTAGCACAAAGCTAAGTGTACAGCACATGTAACTAGATAGGCACCACTGTATGGGAAATGAGAAAATACGATATCAACATATACACTGACCCAGAAGAGGTGTGGAGTGTGTTCTTCTACAGTTACAAGGCAATGGGGAGTTAGTATTATAAAAAGACAAATTATCAGAGAAATGCAGAACATAAACAGACTGAATGCATCCCATTGTCTTTATGAGTTATACAGACCTAATAGACAACTTGGCAAAATATCACACATAAACTGTGCTTATGGACACTTGTTCCTTTATGCTACTGGATTAGGCTAAGAATAGATGTGACACCACACAATCAGCTGTCGGTCATGCACACTTCCCACCAGGGCCAAAGCTAGCAGCGTGCCTTTAAGACCTGGTCTAATAAACATTCAGCCATGATACAGATTCAAAGAGGCAGAAAAAAGCAGAATCAACCCCATTCAGCACAACAGGGAGCATTGGGGTGTATTTTATGAAGGTTCAGGTGGAAGCAAAGGACACCATGCACTCACATGTCACTGGCAATGGAGGAGTTTCGGGACATAGACTTTGGCGAGAGGTCGTAGTCGCTGTCGGAACGGTAGAGGAACGACTCTCTCCGTTGGCTGTGGACAAAATTGGCCTGAAGGATGAGGCCTGAGCCTGGACTGGCCATTGGGTCCAGGGGGCTGCGACCTGATGACGTGCCATTGTCCACATCAAAACTGCATATGGAGACAGAGAGAGGGAGAAAGACACAAAGATCAGAATCTGATAATGTATACTTGACACTAATAGGCAAATACAAAAAAATAATTATTTTGATCATTTTTGACGAGTAAAGCAACATCATGTTGAACCCCCGCATGACACTCCAGAAGAAAAAATGGTAATATAAAAAACTTAACAGCCAAGATTCACGCTATAGCATGTCTGATCAAAAGATGAAGGGAGGGATGCAGTGATCAAGTTTCCTCAGTCAATCATCTGCCACCAAAAATTATCCAACTTCTCCAGTCTTTCTACATACCAGTTCTTACAAAGAGCACACCTTGCATAAATTAATAAATTAAGTGCTGTCTGTAACAGATTGTACTTATGGCTGCATGATGTGCTTCAAATATCTATGTCTAAATAAATCACAGGCTTTATGCAAACATTAATTACATGTTAGTGGTCTGGATGACTTCAGAGCTTACTCACATACTGACTAAACCCACATGTACATTTTCTTCCATTGCAACAGCAGCATAGGCTCTGCCATGCATTTCCATAGTTTGCTGTATATTGTCTCCGTAGTCATGAGCTGTGAAATTCAAAACATAACATGACAACCTACATTCATGACATGAAGTGCTATGCGTGTAGGCATGTGGGCCCTATACACAACTGCTCATTGACGTAAATTTGCTCGACCATTTAAAATTATAATCAGTCAGTCCCTCATTATCTGGCTGATTATTGGATGATTATGACTGGTGGCAGACTAATTGGCACCAACTGGTAAAATTAAGCAGCAATATTCAAAGCCATCTACATACAACCACAAGTGGTATTGCTTTGAATAAACTCTGCACAGGGCCACAGGGAATACCTCTGCTCCAACAATGCCCCTGACTCACAGTTGAAAGGCGTTTCGAAATCAGTGACACCATTTCCCACTGGGATGTCACAATGAGCTCCTTAGTCTCCAAGGTGATTGTTCGCCCAGGTGATGACTAACACTTGTCACCGGAGATATCTGCCTCATCGCTATCTGCCTCATCGCTATCTGCCTCATCCTTAAGATATCAACCAATCCCATAATCCCATCTGGTGTGGATCCTAAGGTCAGGGGGGATTCCCCTAAATGCGACACACAATACGCACAGGGATGACGTCCCCCTTGCCTTCATCAGCATCACTATGGAAACTAACACACATTAAATCCAATATCATCTACATCTTAGCCAGTACGGGACACCCTGCTGTCATGTTTGTGTTTTCCTGACGAGCAGAGGATACCCCATGAATGTAGTGATCTGTGTGAGTGTACATGTTTCCATATTTTCCACAACAACTAAACGGCTAAACACTGTGCTATCTCTCTGTGATCTCTCCAAGTAGCAACAGCTATGTGAGTGTCAGCTCTGGTTGTGGAACGGGATAGTTTGGACGTCTGCCTGATATTTGAGGAAAGGGCAAATGTATTGTCCTCATCCCTGTCTCTAACTAGCTGTAAGACAAACACACACACAGTGGAGAGGTAATATGTGAGTAGCAATGACTGCTGCCTTTTTATTTCACATTTGTGTTTGTCTTATATTACACACATCACTCCAATCTTTGTCCCCAAGTCCTGTCTTATTTTTAGTATTAGATCAGTCTGAACCAGTACTATCTATACACATACTCATACACAATCCCCCAATCCACACCCTCGTATAACATCAAGTGATCCATTTGTTTTCTTTACTGCAGGGGTAAAACCAAAGATTTGCACAAGTGACTTATACATCGTCATCCAAGCACAGATCAATCCGTTCTCCAGCTGTTCTTTTTGATAGATGTGTATGGGTGTGCATACCATGTCTGTGACAGATACGGAGATAACAAAAGTGAAAGTGTCAAAACACCTAGCATATGTTTAACAACGGATTCATCATCACACTTACTGACGTCACGGCCTACAGATTCTCAGCCAAACCTCTGACACGTAACTCCTCTCTCAGCGTGTGTGTACATTTTGACTCCACAGACACACCCCTCATTGGGAATGACAGAAATGATCTTTGCAGCTTAGTTTACAAAAGGTACTGCACCATCACTGACATCACGGTGAGAATGTCTGGGTTTGTTCCCTGCTCTGACACAAAGCAGCAGCCTTTGATGAGCAAAAATGAGTTGGAGAAAACAAAAAAAGGAAAACAAAAATGTCAACTCCCCTATGACTATGTTGTGAGAATCAACAAACAGCACAAGTACAACTCACAGGGGGATTACTGTAGAGATGGAAAGTAAAGCCACCTTTACTTAGAGGAAGAGACAATAAGACCACAGTTTACCTAAAAAGGGAGTGATCCAAAACTCAAGACATAACTGGACAGGAAAGAGGAAGAAACTATACAGTATTGTCTTTTGAACTAATATTTAGTATTATTCACATGACCACTGCTCACAGTATACTTATTAAATCCCTAGCCAAAACAAATCATAAGTCACGTCTACCAAAGTTTCAACTGGTTTTATTTAAAATCATCAGATAACTACATCTATTTCTATATATTGGTATTATTCTTAATTCTTTATTCTTGGATCCACATTAGCCAAGGTAGCAGCTACTCTTCCTGGGGTCCACACACACAACAGAACATACATACAAAACAAGATATATAACATGTATAAAAAGTCTTAATGAGACCATATACAGACAAATCAAAATCATATCAGAATTTGTAGAATTTAATGAAGTGCAACTACAGAAATGTATCAAGCTCTCACCAAGATGGTTATTAACTTGCTGATGCTATCCATCACAAAGTGATTTGGGGATAAAAACCTCAACAAAAAACATTGACTCGCATAGGTGTTCTCTTTTAATTTCTGGAAATTACAGGTGTTCAGTGTTTAAAGCATAAATTTATCTTGAATAATCAGTGCAACATACATATTTTGTCGATAATAGCATGTTGGAGAGCCATAGGTGCTGATAGCTAATCTTTGTTGTAATCAAAGCTCAATATGTTGCTCACGGAGATAACTAAGATAAAAATCTTACAATATCCTGAATAGCATTCTGTGGTAGGTCATTTAGCTACAAGAGCCCACAGCTACATGAGTAGATGAGAAGACGCCCTGTAGGGACAGCGGTTCCCACAAGTGTAGAGTTTCATGCTTGAGTTAGGAGTTGCAAGGGAAAAAAGAGGGATTGTCTGGTGCTAGAAAACCAGCTGCACTGTAACAGAGGTTAAAAGACAAGAAATGTACAGTAGTTGTAAGGGCACTGAGACAGACGAGTAGTGGCTGTTGTGACTTCATACTGTAGGACGCTGCTGGGTCACACACATGCCTAAGGACACTGCACTCTTTTATCCTCTCTCTCCATCACTTCTGTCTCCATCTTCTCTCTCCTTCACCGTCTGTCTCTCCTCTCTCTTTCTATCACACATACATAGACACACACACACTCTCACACACACACTAAATGGCATAGATCAATGACTCATTTTTAGCCTTGGGTCACTTGAGCAATTATAAACACCACAGGAGTTGACGTGACAGCACAGTGAGGGGACATACTAGAAAAAAAAGGTCAGGGCATAAATATCTTTGTTAAATAATCAGCTGAGGAGGATTGTGACACTGTTTTTTTATAATATGTAATACAAACTCGATATTTGTGTCTCAATCCCAAAGTGCAAACAAGCAAAAGCAACAACAAATGGTCTAAAAAAAAGAGAAAACTTTCTCTTTCACTAAAACCAGGACACACATCTGGAAAGAACTATTAAAAAAAATCTCCTGTCATGCTGATCAGTGTCGAGCTGTGTGTCGAAGCAGGCAGAGGGAAGATGACACTCGATTTTATTTTAGAAAGCTGAGAGGACACAGAGGGGAGCAGGCACTGGAGGAAGGACAAGGAGACATGTCAGAGCTGTGCATGTTTGTGTGTGTGGATGAGCATGTAGTCTGTATTTATGAGGATTGTGAGTGTGTCCTCCCGCATGCATGCAGGAATGTCGGTATGTGATCCTAAACTTTTGTATGTTAACCTTGACTATGTTCTATGCAAAACAGCAACCCATGACAGAGGAATATAGAGACCAGATGACACCTAAGATTCAGGCATTCTGCACGTAATGAAAAAGCTGTCTTGGTTTGGTGACGCTGAAGAGCCACAGAACCTCTGTTTTACATGTTTTATGACGGGTATATTTAGGGAATGTGACCTACTCTGACTCGCAGTGTGCTTGACAAAGAGAACGATGAGTCCCATCGGAGACACTACAGGAGATTAGAATGTGTTCTCTTCCATGTTGACGTACTAAACTAAATTTGATATCAGGTCAAGGATATTCAAACCACTAAATATATTACCCCTTTATCACCACTGACAAGCATTAAATGTCATTATTATGGATTAGCAATATGGAAATATTGAATATATTGATGTGATAAAAGACATGTCTTACATGAAAATGTTCAAGGTGACCATGTTGCTGTGTAATTTAATGCTATTAATGTGTTGATGGAGTAGTATTCTATGTATATGGAGCATTGTTTGAATCTAATGTTTTTATCATAGTATGTAAATATGATGGACATGCATGTCTGTTGCTCATTTAACTCTGCAAAAACAGTCAGACAAGATAGGTATTGAACCTCAGCATCTTTTTCGTACTAACTGACATTGAGTGTTTACTTATTCTCTAATCAGATATCATTTAAATAATAACTTTTACAGCTAATTGTGCTAAGATACTAAATGAAAATGTTTTTGTATGTAAACATGATTACATTCCTTGATCTACGGTACTAATAAAAAAACGATCATTTGGAAAATCGAAACATTTCAAATTATCTCCGGCTCCAGAGACTAGTTCACGACTTCAAAATATTCATATCAGTATAATATTACAGAGATACATACAGTAGGTGAAATGTGCCTAACTTAGAATGAGTAAAGGGACAGTCAAAAGACCCTAAAGACAGTTCTGCATCTTATATATGTCAGAACGTGACCATCATCTTCTTTATTTTAAGCTTACACATACAATGGTGAATCTAATGCTGCAAGACATGTTGGTTAAGCAGCTAACTCAGTTCCACTGTTAACTCTTTAACATCCTGTCCAAAATGTCTCCATGAGGCAAAATATTAATGTTCCAAACCTACAACTCTCAGCAATGTCTTCACCATCTTGTATAGAAAGTCAACAGGGAGAGTGAGCAAGGCCAAACTGCATCTTCCCACCTGGAAACATGAGACATGAGAAAGACATAACAGTAACAGGAAGAGGCCAGCCCCCACAGGGCAGACAGGCCAAGCAGATAAGGTACCACTCCCTGATAACCAAGACACATTTTCTCTATCTGGCTCGTACTCCATGCAAACACACACACGGTGGAATTATCACTCACCAGGCAGCAAATGCAGGCAAAATTGGTCTTTGGCAGATAAATCAATAAAATTTGTGCCACATTGTCAAGTGAATTTTATCGCTGATTATAGTTGGTTTAAATTATTTTCTTCTTTATTAAAGTGTAGCCTTTATTTAACATACAGCACGGGCCTTGACTGCAGAACAAAAAAAAGTTGTTTGCATAAAGTATATTGTGTTTTGTCTGTCAAAAATTATCCTTAAAGGTTTACACTCTCCCATGCTTTCTTTCTTGCTCTCCTTCTGGTTTTTCTTGCCCTGTCAGGTATAAGCAAAGTGAATCCTTCACTTTTGTCGTAACACTGCTTTAGTGCTCGCTGTCACTGCGCCATTGAGAATACTCAGTCAATCATGAGAGACATACAAAGGAATCACCATGGCAATGCAACGTCATCTCAGGTCACATGGTTCAAAGCAAACCAGTTCTGCCCCAATATACATAGGAGGTCCAGTTAACCCATTACCAGTCCTTTTCATCATCTCATGTCTGGTACACTAAAGGTCAAATCTGGAAAACATGTTAGATAACTTTGTCAGCTCGATAAGAGGCCAAATAATCTTTTACAGCCTCCAAACTGGGGGCCGACAAAGGCCAGATGGAAACACTTAAGCCACACATTCCCCACTTCTCCATGCTTTATCTCAGCACACCATAACATTACTGCAGGTTTGGGGAAGAAGTCCTTAAATAGGTGTGGAGCTCTTTCCCAAATCCTCATCTTTCACCTTTCCCAAACTCAGCTGACACACTGATGGATACTCAAATGTCTGTGCACACAAACCTACATTAACACGGTTGGGTGGAACGGGGTCTGTTTGAGTTTGGTCAGGCCAGGGGGTACGTCAAACACCCGGACCACGTCATTATCTTAAATACGCACAAGTAGACGCATGTAGATACACAAAAGCACTCATGCAAGCACACAAAGACACATGTACTCTCACAAACACAGAGCTAAGAAATGCATACTTAACATGAGTGTTTAATGCAGACTTAGGGAGATGACCACCTCTTTCTGCATTACACATGCATACATTACAATTCAGGTGTTAATAAGTCATAGTAATCTACTGTAAATCTTGTAAGCACTGTGATAACATTTATGAAAGACAAAGCAATGATGAGAATTAGTCAAAGAAGGCTTGATAAAACAGGAGAGGAGGGCAGGACAGATGGAGGAGGCGGTATGCTCTGTCCAGCTGACTACTGCTTTTGGTAGTCATTCAAGAAGATGGCTCATACAGACCTAACACTGCCAGATTCTCAGCTTTTAACATGAGAAAAAGCTGCACTCTGCAGTCAGCTTTAACACTATATCAGGTCTATGTGTTAGCTACGCTATTGCTTTTACACCCTTCCTATGATATTCACTGTTCAGAGAACTACTATCCTCAAAGATTTAATTAATGTCTTTATTTCACACAAGCGTCATTTTGTGCTGGTGAGGTTGTAGAGCAGATAAATAAACTGACAATATGAGAACACTGTGAACCCTGCAGGGAGGTCCGGCAGGGTTCAAACACATGCTGCCGGGCAACCACCAATCCATTTACAGCTCTGCCTCTGTATCGCAATGGAAAAAACTGTGAATATTAACTTCCAGTGCTGAAGCTACGGAGCAGCAATGAGTGCTGACAGGCAAGGACAAGTAGAGACAGGAGGGGGAGGAGACAAGAGGGGGAGGGCGACTTCTGCCCCTGGCGTTGAGCTCAGCATCCTGCATTTATCTGGAGCCATGTGCAGATAGGAGAACGTATGTGAGTGACACAACACAATCCTCAATGAATTATGCCTTTGTGGTTTTACAACCATGTACAGGATTTCACGGGCTCAATAGACAGTGAGTTCTAATGAAGGGACACTGAGGGTAAGACACCAGGGTCATGACAACTACAGCAAGTGTCGTGTCGTTATTGAGTCCCAGTCTGATAAAGCACAAAATAGGCTGGAGTTAAGGACAAACCTAATCTAATCTGACCATAGAACATGTCATGCCTTGCTCAGAAAACCAGGCACAAAAAACAGAAACTGACATATCAGAAGGTTTTTGACGCAAACTCAAGAGGAGGCAGAGAAGTTTTGATTGAGTAGAGGAGCTGTTGAAATATCCACAAACAAAAAGCGCAGAGAACTAACAGGGACAAATGATGAAAAGTAAAGACTTGCTGATTAGGTAGACAAAAAGTATTTCAGGAAGCGATAAACAGGCAGATGGAGAACAATAGAGCAACACACAACAACAGGATTAAAATTAAAATGTTGCCAGCGGGACAAAGTTCCCAGTCTATTTACCATATGCCCTCTGTGTTCTTCAATGAGCTGGTAGATCGCGACCGTGGCTTAAGAATGATACTCATGGTCTTTTTCTTCCACATCCACACACATTACATCTGCAAACACACATGAATAAAGCCACACACACACACACACACACACACGCACACACACACCCTTCTGGGCCACCTGGAGCCCTCTGACCAGCCCTCCTCTGTGGTCTGACCACAGTCTTTGCTCGTCTGAAGTGATCCAGTGAGAGCTTCCTTCCCTCAGCGTTAGTTCAGCGGAGTGGTCAGGTCTGCAGAGCTGCTTGAGACCAAACCTGAGTTGACTCAGATCAAACCCTCCGCCCAAGATTATTCCACACTGCTGCTCCTTCTCCAGCTCCGATCGTTTGACAGTAGGTGGTTCTTTAGCCTGTTCTCCCTCCCTCCCTCCCTCCCTCCCTCTCTCTCCGTCACTCACTTGCACTTATCTTTCTCACCAGATCAGCGTGTGATCTCCCTCTTTCCTAATCCAGCCATGCACTCACTCAGTTACTTTTTCTCACTCTGTTTCTCACTTTTAGGTCCCTGTGTTTTTTTTTCTTCTCCTTTTTGTTCCCTGACTGGTGGAAATAAGATCTCCTCTTCCTCCCACATTATTTTTTTCCCTCCCTCCTTACTTTTGTCTTTCTTCGTTTTCTTTTTACAACTGTCTTTGAGTTACATGACTCTCCTATTCTCTCTCTGATTCTCCGTTTCCCCCGAGCTGCAGCTTGGGTATGTCTGGAGTGGGAGGGGTTGTTTTGGTAGTAGTAATTCCTTGAAGGGCGGGACTTGTATCCCCAAGCAATCCTAACAATCGTCTCAAGTGTCAATCACTCAGCTGCCACAGTAACCTAAAACCAACACCTTAAGCATGCCAATGATCTGGAGAGAGCATACACGCAAAGATAGTGTTGGCTGAGTTTCATCATTCCAATAACAGAAGCAATAAATTGAGAAAATAAGAGATTTACTGAAAAGCTGTTGTTTTTGTGGCAGACAAACAGGGGTTAGGAATGCATTGCCAAATGACAGCATTCTCAGAACTGAGAATACAAGGTGTGGGAGGGAATATATGTGAAAGGAAAAAGAGACTAAATTAATTAACTATCAATTGTAGCAATCTTTTTTATGATTAGACATTACCAATGATTTGTTCTAATGTTTTGCAGATTGGTTTTACTTCCTATTAGTTTCCCACACAAAAAACAACAACACATCAGCCGTGCCTTGCTGGCTATGAAATGGAATCATCAGTGTGTCACTATCTATGAATTAGGTTTAAGTGTGGAGCTCAGATGGCATCGTCTGCTGCCAAAGTTGCAAATATTAGCACTCCACCAGGCGGACAGGTATGCCAGCTGTCTGGATTGTCAATCACACATGAATGAGTAACGTCAAGCAAGCTACTCCACCTTTGTATGCACTAATGGTATACATTCAAGGATTCTGCATCTCCATATCCTGCTGAAAATGATTTCTGAATTGTATGTAGTTCTTTCCTTTGCAGTTATCTACTGTGGACGGGTGGAAAACAAAGCACTAAATCAGTAACGACAGTTAAAAAGTAGGACGCAGCAATTGTTGCGTTCCTAGCTGTAGCTCTAATAAGTAAAAACTTCAAACCAAGAGCAATGTAACCAGAAACAGAAGCATTGGCATACACATTATTCCAGCCCTGAGAATATTTCCTTGTCATCAATAGTGCAACTGGTCATAGAGGCAAGTAACGAGAGAGTAAAATCAGCCAGAGGACGTGAACACAGGTATGCATCCAAAGGAGATGAGAGAAGAATTCATTTCTCATTGCATCCATAGACTGATGATAGTGATAATACATCCACTTCATAGCTACTGACGCTTCAGAGTAATTTACATAGATGTGCTTTTATGTCAGGCACTCCAAGATGGATGTCATATGATAATTTCTTGAATACGCACATGCAGATGAGCTTTCATACAGACACATTCACAAATGACACATGAGCAGATGCATGCTCACTAGCCATATATGCAGAAACCTCCTAACAAATAAGAATGCAACAAGTTATGAATAAATGCTTATATGTATGTAAATACCTATGACCCTGCAATACTAAAGTGCATGAGAAATCAGATTACTGTTTAACCATGTATTGATTTAAAGGATTTCTTCCTTCTATGTTATCATGTGATGATCAGTTTAAAATTTCTTGCCAAAAAAAGGAAAGAACACTAACTGACAACTTTTGTTTTTTATATATTTACAGCTTTTTCATTCCCAACTGTCATCTCTTGGACGGTGCTGCTGATTTGATGCTGAAAGGGTTGGTTTTTCATTGATATAAAGCTAAAAAAGTAAACAGTAAGTCGAATAGGCACATCTAACGCTTTCAAACTAATCCTATTACGACAATCTGCACATTCCATGAGGTCAAGGAAAGAACAACAAAATCTGGTTGTCTTTCCTCGGCCTTGAAACCACATTTCCCAAATGAAAACACAACAGACAACATAATGACAAGAACTATCCAAACAACACACCTCATGTGAGCCTATTGAGTTCAATATTCAAGAAACTGAACACATTTAGGCCACGATATTTTACTTTAAAGGCACAGATGTGTTTACATAGTAGCAAACAGCACTTCTCATGATTTCAGTAACAAACAGAATTTGTTTCTTATGAGTAAGAAACTGGCTCTCCTGAGCATAACTTAAAGTATGAGAGTCACACTATTGGTTCTTGTTTTTCTCTGTCTACCATTCATATAAACACACACACACAATGAGTATTTACTTTTAGGCTACAATGCTGCCATCCTCAGAAGGCAGAGGTGTAATACACAAACAAAAATAATGAACCTAGTTCTGCTCTACAGGGGTTCAATTTGGAGGAAGCAAGAATGTTACTGTTAAGTCAGAATCACATCGTACATACAGCGTGAAATCCATCTTACTTGAGGAGCTCAACAATATCTAACTCCCTGTATGCCATAAAAGATCGATACCTCAGCCTAAAAGAAAATGTATATTTTTCAGTATTTATTTAAAGCAGGTATAACAAAAAGCTGCATGGTACATTAATATCTTTTTAGTTCAGTTTTGTCTGTTTTCAGGTAAAACAGAGGCTGTATTCATGTAATAGTAGGTAACTGCTATTACATAATTGTAGGCTTTATTTATGTTAATAACACATATAGCACTATCTAATAACACCACATAATGAGGGCATAAAACACATTAGGAAATGATTCACTGCAATTCTCAGAGAGACACCACTGCCACCTACTGGTAAAATTAGTCTAATTCTTGTCATAAAAACCAGTTGCATAGATTAAGTGACCGCAGTAATTGACAAAATAATTGATTTTGTCTGAAAAAAGGCCTCTTCCATGAACCAGGTTCAGTATATGGTGCAGATAAACACACTCAGCAAATGCTGATATAAATAGCACTTAACTAAGGAGCAGGCAGTGAGCACAGATGGTGGGTCCACAGTATTGACAAGGCTCTATCCATATCTATATGTCTACAAACGCCACCAGCCATTACCTTTTCTTCATATTCAAATACTATAGATGCACAAACACACATACACAATCAAACTTCATTATTATGCGCACACACACACTACGAGACGCACAAAAAACAAAACAGGGCAAGCGGGTGCAGATGAACATCAGATGATTTTGCGCATTTGGGCTGGGGTCGCTGAGTACATGTTTGTCAGAGTAATGCAGTATAATAATGGGACTAACAAGGTCTTAAAATTTTCTGTGTGAGCTTTAATGGACAGAGAGTGCTCTGATGATTAGCTTACACTCTGCTCTGGTTAGTGAACGTAGCTGTACTCCTGAACACCTTGATGCTTTAGATGATGACCTGCTTATTTATCATTTACCTTGCTCTTAGCTCTGTAAAAGCAGAGTAGCGGCTTCTCATAGAACATGGTAAAACATGTGCATTCACACAATTGCACACACTTCAGGCTGACACTATAGGTTTAGGAGAGTAAACAGCAGAAATACAGCTTCGACAGAGCTCTAACAACACAACCAGCCACCAAGCAACGATCATTTACGCGCTGGGTTGTGAACACACTGCCAGTTCTGCGTTGTCCAGGTGGAGCTATTCATCTGCTAATGTTCTGATAAGAGAGAACACACATGCTTTGTGTACATTCATGCAAGTCATACAAACACATAAATCCACACATGTACATATTACATAGCAACACTTTCCACACAAAGAGCAACAAGAAAGACGGATTTTTAAACTCGACTGAGGTTCAGTTTCACCAAGTTTCCTAAGCTGTCTTTCTACGTCTCAATCCCTAATTTACTCCAACTCAGTGTTTCATGCAAGGTTTGGATGTTAACCATAAAGAAGAAGCAACACAGGCAGAATATTACATTAGCTAACAACATTTATATCTAACTATTTCAAGAATGCATAGTTCCACACAAAAACAAATCCTACAAATGCTCAGCACGAGAGAAAATGTTGGTTAAGGCCTCATCGTCTACAAGCTTTCCCTCTTCCCTCCCACATTTTCAGTCCCAGAGTGGAATCATACCCTCTTCTGCCACGAGGTTTGATGTCGATGGGCTTGTTCGTGGCGTACGGTGAGCCATTGGAGCAGGCGTGGCGGTAGCGGGCTATCCTCTCCAAAGATAGATAATCAGAGTTGACAGGCAAACTCATTTTGGTGGTGCTCTTAACCACTGCCACACACTGCCACACACTCACACACAAACAGCAGCGACACACACACAAACAACACACACACACAGCACACACAACACACAAACAAACACACAAACACACACACACACACAAATGTGTGTCAAGAGAGACAGAAAAAATGAAAGAGAGAGAAAGAGGGAGAATAGATGGAGAGTGTGAGAAGAGGTCTGTGGGAGAAAAGAGGAGAGGGCTCAGCATGGGTGTGACTTAAACAGAAAAAAGATGGAGAGAGAGAGAGAGAGAGATACAGGAGAGGGAGGGGCAATGTGCAGGGGTAGAGCAAACTAATTTCTCTTTTCTCTCAGATAACCATCAACAGTCAGTACTGACAGCTATACACGTAATAATTACATAATCATAGTGTATGTACAATGCCGATCTACTTCAGTCAAAGCTTTGTGATGGACAAGAGTAGTAGGCTGTCAGTGCACAGTCAAGATGAAAACTTAGATGTCAATGACATGGTGGCTATCAGAAGTCCTTATTTAAACTGAAACACACTCCCACTGCAGATAATGCTGGAGTTTTTGATCTTTCATACTGCCTCCTTCTCTATGCATACTGCAAGTAGGTCAAATTTTGCAAGTACCCCAACTCGATATTGTACACTGGCTAGCACAAAGCAAAATTCTATGTTTGGACCTAATATATCTTGGAAAG